ACTTTATTAGAGGGTTCAGGGTTAGGCTATAGGTTGCAGAAAGATGATCAAGTTATATCTCACCTTCTTTATATGGATGATTTGAAACTGTTAGCCTCCAACAAATTACAATTGACAAAGTTACTAAAGGTGACGGAAAACTTTAGTAATTCTATCAAAATGGAATTTGGTGTAGACAAGTGTGCAGTCATGTATGTAAAGAAGGGTGTGATAGTTGAATCTGAAGGAATAGAGCTTTTGGATTCAACAAAACTCAGATCTCTGTCTGCCACTGAAACTTACAAGTATCTGGGTATATCACAGTCGTTGGGAATACCAGAATCTAACATGAAACAAACATTGCAGGAACGCTTTTTTGGCCGCTTGAAAAAAGTACTTAAAAGTCTTTTATCAGGGGGCAACAAGGTGCGAGCCTGCAATGGTTGGGTCATGCCGGTTCTAATGTATTCCTTTGGTATACTTAGATGGACTCAGACCGAATTAGATGCCCTTGACAGGAAAGTCCGCACACTGCTGACTGCATCCCGAATGCACCACCCACGTTCATCAGTTATGAGATTGTATATCCCGCGAAAGCTTGGGGGTCGCGGTCTATTAAATATCAAGACCCTACATAATCGCGAGGTATGCAATCTCAGAGAATATTTTCTACATACCGACGTGGGAGTGCATCGCAATGTAGTTGCAGTGGATACCGGCTTCACCCCGCTCGCTCTGGCTAAAGAGAATTGGCGCAGACCTGTAGTACTTGGTGTTAATGATCGCAGGGAAGTATGGAAGGGCAAAGAGCTCCATGGTCGGTTTTATCGGGCCCTAAACGGGTCCGATATAGATTTAAAAGCATCTACGACTTGGCTACGGCATGGTGATCTCTTTGGAGAAACTGAAGGTTTTGTTTGTGCGATTATGGACGAAGTTATCATGACGAATAACTATCGGAAATATATCCTGAAAGATGGTACGGTTGACATCTGTCGGGCATGCCACCGTCCTGGCGAATCAATCAGGCATATTATTTCTGGTTGTTCTCGTCTTGCTAACGGAGAATATTTGCACAGGCACAACCAAGTAGCCAGGATCGTACACCAACAGCTTGCCCTTAAATACCATCTTGTGAATCTAGAGGTGCCATACTATAGGTATGTGCCCGACCCAGTTCTCGAGAATGGTCGGGCCACGTTGTATTGGGATCGATCTATTATCACAGACAGGACTATTGTTGCCAATAAGCCTGATATTGTGTTGATAGATCGATTAGAGCGCCGCGCAATGATTGTTGATATCGCCGTTCCTCATGACGAGAATCTCGTGAAAGTTGAAAAAGAAAAACAAATTAAATATTTGGATTTATCTCACGAGATTGTCGATATGTGGAATGTTGATTCAGTGATCATTGTTCCGATAGTCGTATCTGCTCATGGATTGATAGCCAAGAGCCTCGACCAACACCTTAAGAGGCTCACGTTGGATGGCTGGATCAAGGGTCTGATGCAGAAGGCAGTCCTCCTTGACACGGCTCGTATAGTGAGGAGGTTCCTATCTTTGGAGTCCTAACCACCGGTGTCTTGGTCCCTGTACCCGATGTCGGTGGTCTACTATTTTTTATATTTTTAAATGTATTTTTTTATAAAGTGTATATTTAAAAATGTAAATAATATGTATATAAAGTAAATAAAGAGAATAATAATAATTTATTTCCAAGTAATTACTAACAATATTGCCGGTGGCCCCACACTAGGCAAGCCTGTCCTGTGGGTGCCTGATTACACCGGGCGACGACTTAAAACTAATTTCAACAACACAATAATAAGCATTTTTCAGGAACAACTTAAAAACTTAAAAAAAGACTTTTCTATCATTATATAATACAAAAAAGTAAAAGTAAATAAGTAATAATGATGGTAGGAACATAATTCATTTACTCTATTACTAATTAATGCAAGTATTGTTATAAGTACACATAATAATATAATATCGATGTGTGTCACATATACACACACAGTATATATATACAGTTTTATAGGGTTTATGTTAAGTGCTAATTAACTCCCTTGGTCGTCTTGTGGTGCTCCGTATTCCTAATTTCTAATTCCGATCTGCTCTTTTGAATGCCATCTCTATATGGTTAACAGTTTTTGATATCGGTGATCATCGTAGGGTTACCGTGAAGATTTGCAGAGGTTCTGTACAAAACATTTTGCTACAAATGCTATTGCTAAAAATTACACTGCTACATATACTCAAACAAGAAACGGGTAGGTACTTTTCTAACAGTAGGTGCGTTTCGAAGAGTTTTAAGAATTCTTTGTGGTACAAAGAATTCTAAATACAAAGCTAGAAATAAAAAAGCGAATTATTAATTTACTGACTTGCAAAACCCGATTCAGTTAACTATAAGTCCAGTACAAATGTTGACCTATCGTGGAACGTAAAGTCTTATACAACAACAGAAGGCCAATTCTCGTACTTAATAAAAGTTCGGTCTCAATTCGGTTCCGTTCTACTCTCCAAAACCACCTTTTTATCTGAAGCATAGTCGTCTCTGCTAGTTTCTGGACTTTACCATATTCATTGCTGTTATAAATCGAATTACAACAAAGTTAAGATGAAAATATAAAACATAAAATATTATATTTCATAATAAGTATGTTTTAATCCTATTTGAGTTTTTTTTTCAGGTTTAATAAAATACTTTTGAATGAATTATTGCCTATGGTGATTTTTTGATAAACAAAACAAGTTTTCAAGTTATAAAGTCATCGAATTAACAATTAAAAAAAACTGTATCTATTTCGTGTACTAGGTACTGCATATTTTTCATCTATATCAGTCAATAAATGGTCATGAGATTGAACTGAGATAATACTGAGACTGGATTGTATTTTTTGTTAGCAGAATACCTATTTATAGTCAATTCATGATTCAGTCTCGATTAGGCGTCAGGTCAGCTACTTACCTTACGTTAATTAAATGTAATTTAAGCTCGATAGGTCAGTGGAATAAAATAAAGCAATAAAAATAATATTTCCTACCTAAGTCGATATTCACCACCAGGCGATTTCTAATTTTAATTATTGCATAGAGATAAGAATGACGTCTACGTGAATACTCGTACTTCTGTCAACGATACCGAGATCGCAAACGGAACTCAGAAATAACAGAATAATGTGTTCATGTAATTAATTTAATTAACTACGGAGAACTTAAATAAGGAGCGGAGACAGATACTCGAACTACCAAGGACAAATACGAATGAAGTAATTTGTGGCAATCAGAGACCAATCTCAATTATTATCCTATGGCGGTTTTTCTTTGGTAGGTAATAGCTTGATTACCAGTATCATAGTTATAAGTTTGTGGTAGTTAAGTAAGGGTAAGTCAACAAATTATTTTGGAAATTGGTTGTCCTTCTCTCTGCGATCTAAACAGGTGCATCTTAAAATTAATTGCATTGCTTACTAGGGCAAATTAAAGATCACCGAAACATTAGGGAGTACCTAAGTATTAATGGTCTCAGAGACAAGCTGTAGTTCAAGACACACAGACATACAGTTTCTTTCACATTTATAACGTTAGTTGTTTAATGGAACCAATACTCCACTTATTTTATTATCTACAGTTTATTGAATGTGCCCTTGATGGTGAAGTAAAAAGAAGTACCTACCTATAGAGAGAAAAAACATTTCAGGTGGTTAAGTTTTTTGACAGCACGAATGTCGCAATTGTTAAAATTTCATATTAAGTATGTTTTAATCCTATTTGAGTTTTTTTTTCAGGTTTAAAAAAATACTTTTGAATGAATTATTGCCTATGGTGATTTTTTGATAAACAAAACAAAATGTTGGGGATTTGCTTCCTACACGAAACTTAACAAACAAAAATACTTGTGTTCTTTGTGACGGTTGTGTATGTGTATGTTCGCGACATTCATTAATATATTTCTTCAAAAGAAATATTAGGAAATTAATATTAGTGATACGTGCCAAGCTATATCAAAAGTTTATCGTTTACCTATCTGAACAGTTTTTAGGTTTTTTTAACTTGCTGTACTGACGCATCGACTCGTTCGTGAGAACGTTTTGACTCATAAATAAGCGATTTAGTCTGACAATGACATGTGTTCATTAAAATCATCAAATACCAGGTATATTTCGAAGAGATCCTCCAATTTATACAATTTAAATTGATATCTTAGTAAAGGAGCGATGAAATTTAAAGTTTCATATTACATAATCATGTGAATCAGATTAATAGTTTTCCTAGACCACTTAAAAGTAACCATTTTAGTCTCCAATAGTACCTTTTTTTATTTCAAACAATACTATTTAATTAAACCTGATCACAATAGCTAGTGTTTGAAGTAAAACCAGGTAAAAAATGCACCCAGTACGTACACTACTTCACAGATGGCGTGAAAACGTGTAATCAAATGTAGACTTTGGCTACCCACTTCTTAAATAGCTATAATCTCAGTAAATGTAAATATTTAAAATCCGAAACTATTTTTATTAGGTATTAAAATTTGGTGTACAAGCGCAGATAGCTAAAAATTCTAAACAATGTTAGAAAATATGTAAAAACAGCTATATAACACTACAGGACTTTAATATAGTAAAAATATAAACATAACTTGATAATTGTCCAGCTATTTTATAAATCCATGCATTTCTATTAATATTACTGTACTCTGTGGATAAATGTTATCGTTTGACGGAAAAATTTAAAAACCCCATATTTGTGAATTAAACCGATTTTCAGCTCTATATGAATGATATTGATTTCATTAGCTAAAAAATCTGGGCAGGTAGGTTTTTAAATTAAAAAGTTGTGAATATCATTACTTGCTGAAGTAAGTTTTACTTTTTTATGAGTATGGGTGATCTAGCATTTGATGAATACTGTTACTGTAATCGTATTAGGTATATATAATATAACTATTCTCATGATGATACAAATAAAACAAGCACATAGAGACATCAGCTTTAATTACAATACAAAAACTACTGATTTTGCTTGGACTCCTTCGCATTCTGAAGCGCTTGTGTCAAATACAATTTGGCAAGGCTTTGAGAACAAAACTGGCTTATATGTTGGCTGTACGTGTTTATTTGACCAGCGACAATCATAGGGTTGAGCCTGGGCGGGACTGGGTGGGGCTTGAACAGTTTGTTGACATCCTCTTCAGGCAGTGGTGGTTCATCCTTGGCCACTCGAGCTGCATTCTCTTGTGCCCTCTTTACCAACCAGCGGTGCTTATCCTGTTGTTGGCGAACAACCAATTGCTGATATCTGTTAAACTTGATAGCTTCTTGGTTGAGCTCGTCAACTCGCTCCATGAGGCTGCGGAGTTGGCCTGTAAGTAGAATTTACGTTTGTAATAAACTATCTAGGTTAAATATAATACAAAACCAATCATACGAAAACTGATTTTGGTGCTTAATTTTTTTAGACAAGTACTAAGCGCTAGTCAAGCGGTGGGATCTTTATTTATCATACAAGAGAGGTGTAAAATAAGTTTTAAAAGTAAATACTTAATAAAACTTAATCAAATTATCTTGCTAAAGGTACTACCTACTACAGTAGTACAGATGATTTCTTCACAAACAAAAAAATACAGTAATTATTAGTACCTACTATTTACAAACTTAGAATAAATATTATATTAATATTAAAACGCTACCCGTTTATTTTTTTAAAAATACAATTCCATTTTTTATTGTTATAGAAATAGTCAACCAACAAGTCTCAATTTGTAGCTATAAGTTAATGTTAAAACGTTTAACTAAGGACCCAATAATTTTGTCAAATAAGGGAGTAAATTGCATGTTATTTTTAGTCAAAGAATACCATTAACTTACCTTCCAATACTGATGCAGTTCCCAAATCAAGGAATTTAGAGCCCTCCTCTTCAGGGATCATTTCAGATAACTCTGACATCATGATGTTGGTGAGTGGAGAATTGCGGATTACAATTGGCACTTCAATAAACAAACTCTCATACCCAATTTTTAGATTACGAAGAGCCTCTGGTGTGTAATCACCTTCTTTGTACATGGCAATAGCCTGGAACACGAAATTGTATCAATTGTAACATGTAATTATAGGGTTATGGTTATAAAGGCTTAACTCTTCATGTGCCACTACACTGCACAGTGCTTTCACCGGTAAACACTGTACAGTGTAGTGGTACATGAGGAGTTAATAGATGCTGAATTTTGTTTTTCTTTGAACAGTAAAAATTATACATTAGGTTTAGAATAATAAATAAACTGTAGATCTTCTGTTTAGGAAGTCTGAAATATTATGCTTTATTCTAGGGTCCAGCACCAGTTTCACATCATTGACAATATCATTAAGAATACCTCTTTTGTGTCAACTACTTACGGGTAGTTTTTAGTGTTAATTTTGTAGTTATTTTTAAAGGAGAAAAAAAAATTGTATTATTAAGTGCAAGTTGTTCCGCCAAGAACTCTATACCATCATACAAGATCTGTAATGTCAAAGGTGAGTTTTGTGTTCAACTGTTAATAAACTTGCATTTCTATGGTGTCACCATATCTTCATGGGGAGGGACAATAAGTTTACATTGGTGTTATTACATAAATTTAAGTCACAAGTACCTGAAATAAAACTTACCTGAGGAGTCAATCGATATGCCTTTAGTGTCAAAAATCCTCTGGCAGACTTCTTGGTGTCATAAATAACCACAACACTCTCTTCAATGGATGTCTGATAGTGATACTGAGACTCCAAGAGCGACTGGCTGAGGAAGTTGCCTACATCTGCACTCTGGTACCTGTGAAATCAATTATATGATTAATAAACTACATCTAATATTTAAAATTCTCATGTCACGGTGTTAGAAGTTGAACTCCTCCAAAACAGCTCCACTGATTTTTGTGAAATTTTGTGTGCATATCGGGTAGGTCTGAGAATTGGCCAACATATATTTTTCATACCCCCTATTTTTTTGTTTTGACAAAAATAAAAATAAAATTATATGACAAAACAACGTTTGCAGGGTCAGCTAGTAAATTAATAATATATAGAAGGCTTGATGGATGGATGTACAGATATTGTAATTGAAGCTGCTAGATGAACGTTCAGAAGACAGCTCAGAATTATTTATTTTGTTTTTACTAGCCAAACAGAATATTTTGTTAGGATCATTCATTCTTTTATTGTAACTATGTAACTGACTACTCATTTCAGTTTCTCAAAAGAAGAAAAGAATGGAAGGTGTTATGGAAAGATGAGGTTACGGACTTGAAGAAACAGTCAACAACTCCTCTTTTTAATTTCAAACAAACAGTTTTTTTAGTAGTGAGTGAGCATGAGTTAGTTTAACATTTTGTGATAAATAATTTCAGTTACTTATCATTTATTAAGAAACAAGTAAACTCACCATCCAACATGAAAGTGATCAACATTGACACGACGGAGTCTCCTCATCATGTCCAATTGATATTCTTCCTCATCCATGGTGTCATCATGTTTTGGGAATGGAAAACAGTTGGTGATCTCAAGACGGTTCTCTACAACCAGCCCTAGTAAGGCTCCCTGAGCCACTTCCATATTGCTGCATGACTCTTCATGACAGTGTTTCACGATTTTCATCACCGCCTGTAATATTGCAGATAGTTTTTATTTTAAGTTAAGATAAAAGAGCATGTTATAATTATTTATTTATTATTATTATAAACTCTAAAGGACTAGAGAAGTTTTTTTGTGAAATATATATATAAAGTACCGAAAAACCCAAGACACTGCTTAAACCTTTTTTATTTTATGGAAGAGTTGGCAAACAAGCAGACTGATTTTATCTGGTCAAGATGTTTATAGGCAGATGATGACCTAGTAAATGATTAGAATATTATTAATATGAAATGATCACCATCATTATTTTCTTCATAAGGAAAACTAGAAGAGCTGGCTGGTAAACGAGTCTGTAACTACATTGGTATTGGTTTTGGGCTCTGATTGCCACATTTAGACTCAAGTGTGTCTGTGACTACAATTCCAAGATGCTGCAGTACTCATATGTACTATCTTTGGATCGGTCCCTAGGACAAGGAAGAGTGCACATGTTGGTCCCTTTTTGTCCTTCTTTCTGTGGTATTTTTAGTTATCGAAATAAATATTGTTAATTCTTTTAGTATCTATTATTGATATGTATAATAAAGAATTTTGTAATAGAAAAAAATAAACATTATAAAAAATTGTGAAAGTTTAATCAAACCATAAAGTTAATTGTATGTCAATACAATTTTAATGCTAAGGTTCATGATAACTAAGAGTATTTGAATATCTATTTGTTTTATGGATTCAACAAAGAACGAGAATCATTAAGATTGCAAACAACAATTAAAATTGTTTAAAGCATACTTAACTAGATATTTAATGTTAATTTATACAATGTTACTCAATGTCACAACAATGAGATCATCCATGTTATTGTCAAAAATCTTGGGTCAAAGAGGTAATCGTCCTAAACCAACCCATGACTCAGTTCCTAATTAAACTTCACTTTCAGTAGTGAAAAATTAACACGATCTATCTGAATCGTAAATCTTTGAAACATTGGCAATGGTTTTTTTATCTGTCTATGTCGTCAGAAATTAAAAAGTGTATAATAATTATGCTGTCTGTGAATTGAAAGTTTATATCCACAACATAACCTCTAATCGAAAAGATTTTAGAAGATGAAATATATGCAACAGATAATTTAAGCATTTTAACATTACAATAAACACTGTTACTTAGTTTTAGGGCCAAATTATAAATATAATGCTGATTAAACACAGAAAACAGAAGAATACATGACGTGTCGACAGGGAACAGCTTTTAAACTATTACCAATTCATAAAGTTCGAAGACCTCCTGTTGAATAAAAAATAAAACACAAGTAATAAATGCCTACTTACCAATCCATCACATTGTACGTATGTAATTGTGGCTTCAGTTTCAGGAACGCGTCTAGCAGACGCACCAGCACGGTTCGCCATTTTTACAGAAGATCATTAAATTTTTCTGTTCTGTGGTTCTGTGGTTCAACATCAACTTCAAGTTGACAGATTGTCAGAGTTGCCAACAAGTTCATTACTCTTTGGACTCAGTCAGTAATCATACAAAATCAAACACCAAAATTAATAGGGTATTCTCCTCTATTTGAGAAAAAATCTAAAAATATACTAGTAATAGCTTAGGCAAAAAACATCTGGTATAAGTACGCACCAGGTAAAAGATAAAAAAGTTTACGCATGTTGATGCACTTACTTTCCAAAAAGGACAACGGGTCCAGTGACAGACCACCTTTGTAGGTAACTCGCACGATTTGCGTAGTGTGCAAAATTTATTAGAATATTACTATAGAATTTAGTTGAGACACTTTACAAAAGTAGGTGTGAAACCCTGTACCAAAATGTGAAATTAATTATATTTCCGTCGTTAATCATTTGTCAAGGGTTAGAATTTATTTCTTGTTAAAAATAATACATCTGAAAACAATAGGTTACCCATATTAGATATTCAGATGCACCTACTGCTTTTTCTAAAAGCAACAAACTAATTGCAGCTCTTTAAGCCAACAAAGTTATTTAATAAAATAATTAATAAATCAGATCAGAACAATAGTTCAATAAAGTAACCAAACTGAATCTTATAATTTTATTATGGATCAATAATATTTTACAGTATTATTGAACCATAAATAAGATTGCTGGAAAATACATTTGCAAACAAGTTTTAGGTGAACATTGGTGGTGATGGTGGCCATGATATATGACGGGCCTAGTGGTTAGTGACACTGACTGCTAAACCGGAGGTCGTGGGTTCGATTCCCACAAAGGATAAATATTGTGTGATAAGTATATTTTTTTTTGTGTCTGGGTGTAATTTATCTAAAGTATGTATCTATTTAAAAATATAAAAGTATGTTTATCAGCAGTCTGGTTACCATAATACAGGCTCTGCCTAGTTTGGGATCAGACATCCGTGTGTGAGATGTGTGAGATATATTATTATTGTATTTGTTCACGCCTATTAAAACAATCTAACCACAGACAATCAAGAATCGATCTTTATGCGACGGACATTTTTATTTTTTTTGAAGGCAATATTTTTTCACTGCCACCCACAACTCATAGCTAAAATAGTGTAGTAAAAACGCAAATCATTACTTACGAAAATTCGTCTAGAACATACTGTACAACATATATGAACATATGAACATAAATGTTATCTTAGACAATTATATCAACATTTCAAGTAAGAAAAGAGGTTTTATTTGATACGAAAACCTACAGTTTGTCGAATACTAGACAGTATTATCATATAAAACAGTGGTTTACCTACGTTTCAAAATGTGTGAGAAATACCGCACTTCATCGTAGATGATAAAAGTGAAGGAGTGAGTTATGAGTTCCATGCACAGTCGGCACCATATTTAGAAATGATTGTATGTAGAGTTACAGTTTGCCTTACAGAATGCCTTACTCCAGCCAAGGTAAAGTGTGGTCATTGATATGGACAATATTCCGTAACATGAAAATATCCCCTATTTTATCTATGGTCAAATCAGCTGTCACATGTCAAATTAATTTGTCAATCAAACGTCTCGGACAGACAGAAGTTGGCCAGAAGTCCTACAACAAGAGGCATATCGAACTGATATGATATAAATAAACGTTTGTTTACGGCACAAACGACAATACTTTGGTGTCAATGTATCATACAGTGGATGATTTTCCTCTAATATATACTATGTGTTGTATTGATTTAAGAAAGTGCTACACAGTACTTCCGCCCTGATTTAAATCAATGATACTCCTCCTTTTGGTGAAGAAAGGAAGTGGTGATTAAATAATGAGTCAGCATAATTTCTGGAGGGGATTAACACCAATAGCTATATCACCGTCACAGCAAGTACCTGATAAAATTGTAAAGCTATGTGCAGTGAATGCAGACTTTATTGTCCTAGGCAATGACCATGGCCTGTACCACTGTGAGATTATAGAGGATTGTTTGAATTTAAAAAAGATTACCGGCATTTCAGCAATAGACATATCATATCATAATGATATTCTCTACGTCATAGACGTCCACGGACGGCTGTATAAGACAAATATTAGTTTTAAAAATAAAGAAGAAATTATTGTTAAGGAAGACTCAAAATGTTGTCCTCACGGTTTTAAAAGTTCCAGTTATAAAGTGAAGTTCAGAAATGTAGTGACAAGTGATTTTGGGCAGTTGTTTATAAGCAGTGATGGGCAGCTTTGGGGGTCTGGTATTATGCCCCAAATAGCGCTTGATACTCACAGTATTAAGAAAATTCCATTTTTTGAAGGTAGAACAGTGTATAGTGCATCAGTAGGTCAGAACTTTGCTGCTGTTATAGCTCGAAAAAATGTAAGACGCTCAGGCAACTGTGATACAGAAAGTGATAATGATGATGATGAAGAAGTATTTGCATCAAATTGCTCTCAGTGTCAGACAATAATAGGCCTAGCATCGCCTGCATCCATGCCATCACTGTCAGAAACCTGTCCCTTAGGTGTCCAAATTAGTAAGTCAAGTGAAGATTCTAGTAGTACTACAGCTCCACAAACTGATGTTCACATTGATGCTCACAGCCTGACAGAAGATTCTAGTCCCTCATCTGAGGAATCTAAAATTGCCAGAACCAATTGTCAGAAAGTTACAGATGATAACTTCCATGATGCTAATTCTACAGAAGATTGTGAAAATCAGACAGATAAAGGAAGTGAAACAGATGAAGCTTCTGAAGAGAAAATTAATAATATTTTTATCAATACTGATGCTGCTAGACAATTTTTAAGCAGACAGCTTTCATGGGTTTCAGCAGGTGAAGATTACATAGTAGAATACACAGAAAAACCAACAAGAATTATAAAGGAAAATGTATCAAACCTCACTAACTTTGTTTATGAAGGTGTAAAGACTGTGGGTGATAAAGTTGCAACATTATCACGACATGTAAGTGGCAGCAGTGATAATAATGATGCTGTGGAACTGCAAATGCGACTCCATAATGATGAAATAAATTCCCTCATGTACAGTTGTGCTTCTAATTGCAATGCAGATGATTTGCAGTTTTCTACAAGTACAATAAGTAGTGAAAAAGAGTTTGAAGATGCTAGAAAAAATGAGAATCTGAAAAATATGACTAAACTTGGTAAAAATATTTTAGCCACAGAGCTGTGGACTTGGGGTGATATATCATATGGGCAATTAGGCATAGGAGACACAGTAAAGAGATTAAAACCAATGGTTGTAATGAGCCTATCAGGATTTGGTCTACAGAAAGTGTCTTGTGGCAAATGGCATTGTTCAGCCTTGACACTTGATGGGAGACTCTTCATGTGGGGCTATAACCAGTTTCATCAGGTTAGTTTTGATTCTAGAGAAGATAAAAGTGGTCCTAACCAATTTAAGGAAAACTCTGACAGTGACAGAGTGAGAGATATGATTGCAACGGACCATCACACTCTAGCATACACACATAATGAAAACATTTTCTATATGGGAAAGCATACTGAGGGGTACACAGTGTCTATAGTTAATTTAAATGTTCAAAAAGATGAGGAAGAAAATGAAAAGCACATAGACAACAATGTGAAAATAAATGACATCCAAAACTTTACAAGTAAACCCCAAAACATGTGTTACCATTGGAGAATATTATCATCTGGTAACATCAGCTATTGCTCAATAGAAGATTCCTCCAAATGTCCAGAATTCCAGGATTTATCTATTGCTCAAAGATATCTAGAAGAAATGCTTTTGATATATCATAATCTAGTAAAACCTTTTCTTAAAAAAAGCAAATTTGTAACTACACATTCCAATATTTATGAAACTGCTTGTGATATTTTTGGTGACATATTGAACGTAACTTCTTTGAATGTTCTCTCAATGTGGCAATACGCCGAAAAGCATATAAACGAATGTGATATTTCTTTGATAAAAAACTTAGAAGAGTTTATTTATTTGTACAGAAAGTATTACGTAGCTGTAAGTAATTTGATCGTGATCAGCGGTTTCTCTCAGATTAACAGTGTTGTAGACGTTCCCTCTAGTGTATATAATTTGTTTAGTGATCAACTACCGACTAATAAACAAAAGAACAATAAAAAAACATTAGAAGCCATAGTAGGACTTGCGTTTGTTCAACCTCTAACAAGATTGAGCTCTTACAAATGCATTGCTCAATCGCTACTGAGGTATAAGACCAAAAGAAAAAAAGTCGATGTGAAAACTAATATAGAGGAAAGGTTAAACAAAGTCAAAACCTCTTTAGATTCTTTAATCGATGAACAAGAAAAGAAACGGAAAGAAGCTGATGTCACAAAATTGTTTTGGGAAACAATAGGCAAAAGTCTTGAGCAATATCGAACACCAGAAAGGCGGTTAGTGAGGGAATCAAAATCTAGGCCACTGAATCTAGTGAATCCTGGACGGTTTTCCTCCCATTGGTTTATTTTATTCAACGATCTTTTCGTTCACGTCATTGGCAGTACTCCTAGCGTTCATCCTTTGGTGACAATGTGGGTTGAGCCTGTGCCGAACAGTGATTCACATCAAAACGTGATTCAGCTCACGACACCTGAAGAAATTATATCAGTTTCAACTAGCACGGAACAGGAAAAGACAGAGTGGATTCATGGTATAAACAATTCCATAAGACTGGCTTTGAACAAAGAAAACTTTAAACCACCTGCTGTACGAACAGCCAGTTATACATTTTCAAATAAAAATATTTTTTACAAAGATGCGAAATACACTGGAAGATGGTTGGACGGAAAAATCCATGGGCACGGAAGAGTGGAATGGCCCGACGGCAAGTTTTACGTTGGACAATTCCAGCTCAACTTATTATGTGGACATGGAAAAATGGAGATCCCTGGAGTTGGTAAGATATTGTGTTAACTATGCTTTAGACATTACCGTAATTACTAAGTTTTACTACTTATCTACAAAAACGCAGACATGCATAATAGTTTCAGAATCTAAAGCCTTTTTATAATTTCAACCTTCAAGAAAACCGAAACACATGTAAAAGTTTGTTAATTTATTCGCCTACGTCACTAAACAAATATAACTCATAACAGATAATAAACCACATACTGTTTACTTTTGTAATTCTAGAGCAATCACTAGCTCGTTACCAAATCTGAAAACAAATAATATCAATAGTATCATTATAGGATAGCTTATTTGTCAGCCATATCAATAATGGTTAAAATTCATAGTAAAATGAATCAAATTAACGCCAAATATATTGAAAGTAATTCAATTCGACGGCGATAATTATTTCCTCTTTTCATGTTACACTTGATTATTTTGTTGTATGTATTGTACTCCGATATCATAGACGCCACAGCGCTTACAGGCAGCAGCATTCTTGATTGAACATACTATAATGAACCCTTATTGGTCTCTGTCCCAATATCGCCTTAGGTACTTTACGGAGAGGACCAAGAAATAGACGTTTCGTTGTATAGAGACCACTCTTCAGCCAAACACTATTTTAGTCCCCAAGTAAATTCGAAAATGAGTAGGAAAATGATTAGTAACGAGCTGTATGGATGGAGTTTGAACGTTGTTATTTTGCTGTTAGTACGTACGTATCCAAAACAGTAGTGTGCTTAAGTATACATATCAACTTACCACTCCTATGATAGTTTAGAGAAATCGTTTTTTTTTTATGTTAGTAACTATTTTATAATAAGTTCTAATGAAATATACTTAGCCATTATTATGTGTCATAACTACGTAGTCATATAACATACGCTGTAGACTGATGCAACGACAATTCCATAGTAAATGACTTACTTTTTATTTCTATAGTAAATGTAGTGTATGTACGTCTTGATAGTGAGTATAAGATTGATGATTCTCTTGGTATATACATATTTGAAGTGTGAGTCATCAAAAAGTATACGAATATCGTTATTATTATATAAGTGGGCAAGATATAAACGAGGTAATGCTCTTCTGGGGTCAATGTTACGCGTTACGATTGTATAAACAATGTATGATTATGAATTAACAGCTGGTTATTGTTTAGTGACCTAGAAGATGAATTAATTAGACTTAAAACGGTACCTGGTTCTTCCTCTTTCCGTGTTCTATATTTTTACAAGGCCGTTGGACAAAAACTTAGGTGTATTTGTTCTTGTTGGTATCATCATCAACAGCCTATACTAGTCCACTGCTGGACATAGGCCTCTCCTTAGACAAATAGGCTTTAAACTATGGTGTGCATTTATGTATCTTAGTTTCGCTTTCTACTTTCTTCCTACTACAACTTTCTTCTAAGCGAATGTATCCTGTCCTTTCTTGTGCGCAAGGGCAACAAACAAACAAACTCAAATTCACATTTAATTATAAATAGTTATTTAGGCGACCTCGAATTTTCGAGCCTTGTTTTCGCGTATAGTTATATACACTACCAATTAAATTCCTTTTTTAAACCTAAATGCAACTGTTTCTACATCGCTTCAACGACACAAAAAATCTAAGTAGTATTAGAGACTCAAACCAGTAATAACACTAAATACAATATAATAATAACCTATAAACACCTATAAAAGTCATTAAATACATACAATATTCAGATAACAAATCAAAAATTTCCAAAAAAAATATCCACTGTATTTTTTTTACCATAAGTGTTAATAATCTACAACTTTTTTTGTTTTAAACAGTGCTGATTTGGACAATAAGTGGCGTCGGCATTTAATTGTCAAATAATACGATCACAACATTATATTATTATCTAGTGTGTGTCATTGTCAGTGACTGTCTCTATGCAAATAGATGTTTTAATGGGTAGTATAGTAATTGCATCATGCAAGCGTTATCCGTACTTAGTTAATTTTAGTTAAACAAACGATATATCCTTGACAGCTATTGGAGTCAAATTGCCCTAACGAAACGAAAATAAATTAGGAGTATTAACATTACAATACTTATTTAAAGGACAACGTCTTTTGTATGAGGAACATATTATGGCAAAGCATGCACAAATAATACCTATGTACATTTACGGTCAAATTATTTATGTCAAGGTAGTATTGCGAAATATTTGTGAACCTTGAATATTTGTTGAGGTTTATACATCAGTAGAAGGAGGATAATTTACTTAGATTGTATTCTACGGCTTTCTTCTATTATTATTAAGGGTTAAAGTATGAAATTGCCGATTTGTACTGAAAAATTGAAACCCCTTTTTTTCTAAGATTAGATCATTAAATCAAAATTTTTACCCTCTATATCTATAGATTGCTGCCATCTAAACTGAAGTTAATTTATGCCTTTACGATAGAACTCTAGGGATTTGGATTCGACAAATTGTGTGAAAGCATTTTGTACTGCCTCATGAGAAGATTTTTTTATCAGGTAGAAAATTGTCCAAATCACGAAAAAAACGGTAGTCCGTTGGAGCAAGGTCTGGCGAGTACGGAGGATGACGTATGGTTTCTAACTGCAGCTCCTGTAGACTTACAACGGTTTCTCGTGCGGTCTTTCGTTACAAGATCGATTCACAAGTCGGGGCTGTTTCACTGCCAGTTTCGCTATCATTGTTCGAAGTTCAGCACAGTAAACATCTGCTGTTATTACCTGACCAAACCTGAGAAAGCTATAGTAAATAACACCATAAGGAGAACACCAAACAGTTACTATTACCTTTCTATTGGTAAGCTTTGCTTTAGGGCACTGTTGCGGCGTTTGACCTGGGGTCAGCCATTGCATTTTTCGCTTACGGTTATCGTAAACAATCTACTTTGGGTCACATGTCACAATTCGCATTTCTTTCTGCAGATCAGTCAAATCATGAGGCACCCATTTTTCATATTTTTTTATCTTATTGATTTGATGCAAATGGGTCAATATTGTAGGCAGGGTAACGTTAAACCATGCCACTAATGCCGGGGTAGTTTGACTCGGATTGACTTCCACCATTTCAATCAATTCAGCGTTATTTACCTGTGTGGGCGGTCGTCCACGTGGTCAGTTCTTCAAGTCGAAGGTTCGATTACGAACGGTGCGTTCATTAGCAGTCTCCTCTCCAAACGCAGCGTTGATATTGCGAGCTATTTCTGCCGCGTTAGTTCGGAACGTCGAAGCATCTTAACTCGTATTCAAAAATAACTCGTATTTTTGAAATTTCCATCTTTCAGGTCTAAGCTGAATAAAAAAAAACAGAACCTCGTAGGTATCATGTGAAAAAGTTTCACACGAAAATCTTACACCATAAAGGTTTTATGTCAATTCAAAGTATCTATTACTACGAGTATACACACTACATACTTTAACCCCTAATATTATTCTATAATGCACTAACGGATCATAGATCTGATTCTTGCATATTGTTGTTTTAAAATATTCTTCTAATCTCACATCATCACATCACATCACACATCAACATTTAATAGTCTTTATAGTCCACTGCTGAAACGAGGTCTCTCCTTAGAAAAAAGGTTTTGCCTTACCGTACCACACTGGTCATACGGGTTGGTACCTATAGGGTTGTGTCAAGTTTTCCTTCTCCTTACAATGCGGTTGTCCTGCGTAGTTCGCTCCCTTAGTCGGCTCTTACTACACCCATTGTATAAATAGGGGTGTTGATACTTCGTATTCTTATCTTTTTTTTTATGTTTACTCATCCAGCATTCATTACACTATGAGGAACTGATAATAAATTTTACTACGTCATAAAGAAAACAACTTATACTCATAATCAGTAAGCCATTAAAAATGAGATCGACTATAAAACACAGCCTTTTGCTAAAGAATGGAAGTCTCCCCCTCCACATGCTCTATCTAAAGCGGATATAAAGTAGTAAATAAAGGGTCTTACCTACTTAATATTACCAATATGCCTTCTAACTTAAACAAAGTAAGGATTTTAAGTGATGTCCCAACCTGCAATCTGCAGTTATGGTCGCCCGATATATTTACAGCCATAACCCTAGCGCCACTATATCCTTACTTAGCCGATTTAAACATATGTTACCCTACATATCTCACAATGAATGGGAAATCTTTACTACACGCAAATACCACTCAATACAGTACATTGCTTTTTGGGACATTTTGTAATGTTGCATAGAAAAATCCCGGCGTCCTAAATGATACCGCAATCAATGGCCTTGAAAAGAAGAGATATTTGGAGGTCTTTAATCGAACAATTTATTTATTTATTGAAACTTCCTGTAAAAATATTGTAGGTACCACCAAGCAGAACCAAGCAGAAACCATTGTACCAAGCAGAATCAATGCAACAACCATTTTCTTCCAAATGAGACAATCAAATTTTGAACTATTTTTTGCTCACTTAAAGCTCTGTGTAATATTATCAATGTGTGAATGAGACCAAATTTAGTGAAAGAATAAATAGAAATGCATTCTGTCAACGTAGACTAGACGTTGACAGAATGCATTTCTATATATTCTTCGTCAATGTAAGTATTTGTCGTACTAAAGTTACGATGTAGGCCATTCTGTCTGACTGTATCTGATCCCTCTATTAATCTCTCCTATATTCTATGCATTACAATTAGCTTTCTTACTTCAAGAAACGAAAGAACTATGTAACAAGTCTGTGGTAGTGTTTAAAACACTTAATTATGTTGTCGTCTGTGCTTATAAATTGTTATAACTACACCTACACATATATTGATTATTTAATTACGTATTAAAAGTTGGCAAGTGTGTCGTACGTACACCTGTAACTATGTCCGTACAGTTTTATAATATAATCGATGCTACCCGAAATGCGCCTTAAAGTATAAATATATCGTAAGCATTATTATTCTAGGCATCTACGAGGGCCAATGGAAAGACAACCTCCAGAACGGGTACGGTGTTATGAAATTCACCACGGGAGATATCTATGAAGGTTACTTCAAGGACGGCCAGCCCCACGGCCATGGGATAAAAAAGCAAGGGGACTTCACGACATCCTTAGCTACGATATATACTGGGGAATGGAATAACGGGGTCAAGCAAGGGTATGGGGTCATGGATGATATAGGAAAAGGGGAAAAATATTTGGGCAATTGGAGCGATAATAAGAAGCATGGATGTGGGCTGATTGTGACATTGGATGGAATTTATTACGAAGGGCTATTCATGCAGGATACATTGACAGTAAGTAACCAAGAGGCCAAGTGCGAATTGAACTCGTGTGGAGAGAGTTCTGGCCTAATCTGTTATAAATTTAATCTAAGAACAATTTAATCTAAAAACATTGTAGTTGAAAACCATTTTCTCCCATTCATACTAACTGCATTGATTTAGCAGCTTCAGTTTTTTTTAGCTCGAAGGAACCATAGACAATTATTTTCATACATTAAGGTTATTGAAAGGGAGAGCTCTGTGATTTACGCGTTAAAGAATTGCTTAGTTTTTCGACCTCAATCATAATTTACTTTTCCTCAATAGTGGACATGCCTAACTGTAAATAACCTTTAAGAATATTCTGCCTGATTCATCATGAACTCCTGACTAGAGTATTGTACAAACTCGTAGTAGCATATTTTTATTTACTTTTTATATATTTGATTATAAATACTAGCGATTGCCTGATGACTTTCTATGTTTGAGCCTTGTTTAATTTCAATGATGATTATAACTTAAAGTGTTATTGTACCTATAGACCTTTGGACCACGACTGGTCGTAACATATACTAGACTTCTATGTATAAAAATTATCTTCCTGCCTTCTGCATATGAACTTAAAATATTCCAATTTTTAAATTTCTGTCTGTGCGCGTTAACTTAAAAATGCATACAAAGAATCATAAAAGTATTAAGCATAAAACTCACAATCATGCCATATAGTTCTGTATAAATCAATGTTTACTTATAAAAAGTATAATCAACAAAGTCTTTCCAAAAAAAATAACTACTACATTTAATTGGTATCTAAAAAATTGTAGCGAGTATTGCACGAGTTATTGTTGAACTTCCTACTTTCAATTTGAATGTAGCGAACATTACAAAAACCTTCACTCATCTTTATCTCTTCGATATTTTTGAGTTTCTCTTTTTTTATTATTATATTACTTTATCGATGAAATTAATCGAAATCTCGAAATCAGAATGTCCACCAACTGTTACAAGTTACAGTTAATAGTCTAAATTATTATGTGTGGTGTAATGAATGAATGAAGTTCGGAGGACATGAGTTCGTTTCTCACCCAGGACAAATTACTGTGTGACGAGCACGATGATTTTTTCTGTGTCTGTATCTTCTGTCTCTGGTTGTAATTTATCTATGATATGTATGTATTTAAGAAAAAATAAGCATATTTATCAGCAGTCTGGTTACCATAGTACAGGCACTGCCTAGTTTGGGATCAGACTGCCGTGTGTGAGATGTGTTAAGTTATAATTATTATTACCTATATTATTACAATGCCCTAGGGATTGAGGCCTATGCACCAACTGTTTAAGGAACTGTACTTTTGCTACAGCAGTTATTAACTTCTTCCAGGGCCATGGAGTAATGGTATTCGAAGATGGCACTCACTACGAGGGCGAGTTTAGATCAGCTGGCGTGTTCTCAGGCAAAGGAATACTTACTTTTTCTAGTGGAGATAAGATCGAAGGTTCTTTGAGCGGTGCGTGGACGGAAGGAGTCAAGATATCGAATGCGACCATGCATTTAAACGTTTCTAATCCCGTGCCACCAAGCAATTCGAAACCTACGTGAGTTGCATATAGAAATGATTTTATTAATGTCATTGAGTTTGAGAGTTGTAATACTAGTACTAATTAGCTTTGTGCAGTTTTCTGTCAGCCACTCTACTATATAGAAAATATATACATACATAAATATTTTATCAATTGTACCGCAACTGTATACTGGTTTGGTATTCGTGAATTCGTAAACCTAGATTTGCCAAATTTAAACACATGTGTTAGACATAACCCACAATACCTTTATCTACGACTTAATGTAAAAACAATATATCTATTTATGATAAATATCTGTCAAACTAAGCTTACATAATCTAACAAAATCTATTGGCTTTATTAATCTAAAAAACAACATATTTGAAATGTGTTTTAAAATAACAAAAATAAGGGTTTTTTTTTCATGTAGGTACATAAACAATAGAAGGTTAACTTAATTATGTAGGATGTAAAATGTAATATAAAAATTGCCTACATTTAATTCGATCCTAAATAATTATTTGTTTAATCAAATAAAGGCGAACAGCGAAGTTATGACATTAGCTTGTCCGATTGTATTTCACAAACAATCTGTCAATAATTATCGTATTCTTTATCTTACAGCTCCTTTGGCAAATTGAGTGTAGCTCCCAATCAAAAATGGAATGCCCTCTTCCGCCAATGCTTTCAATGTTTAGGGGTCTCAGAATCCATTCTCACACCTACTGGCAATCATTTTGCTAATGGGCCATCCGGCAATGTCATAGACAATATAAAAATTTGGCAAAATGTTGCCGTGGCGATATCCTGCTCCCATAAAGAAAGAAATAAAATGTCCATGAAAAGGAAAGGCAGCGATTTTGAGAAGTCAGTTGACCTCTTAGAAGTGATACCAGAGTTTGGTCAGAAGACATTGAATTTGGAAAGTTATTTGGAGGTTAAACAGTATCTGTACAATGTAAGTGTTCTGTTTTATTTTATACACACAATAATAATGTGATTTGATTATTCATTTAACTGGGAAAGTGTGGATCTGACTATAAGAACCTTATTATTTTAGCACATTTTTTAAACCTGCAAAAATTTAAATTACCTGGTAATACAGGACAATGAAATCAAGAGTAAAAGGAAAACATAATATAATATATATCTGAAATTTATATTTCTTTTGTAAATTTTTCTGAATAAATAAATATGCTACAAAATGACCCTGCATTCCACAAGCGTATAGCCTGAACCACAAATGAATATGTAGGATTCAAATACAATAACCAATTCTAGATCCTAGATTTGTTATTTAGGAACATCAAACATTTTTATCAATAACTGTCTTCCACAGGCTTGTGAATCCACCCATCATCCTTTAGGCCAGCTCGTCTTAGGCCTAACAAACGCGTTCAATACCACCTACGGTGGCGTGCGAGTACATCCCTTGCTCCTCAGTCATGCTGTGAAGGAACTCAAGAGTATCACAAGTCGGTTGTATCAGGTCGTGAGGCTGTTGTTCCCAGCTCTTCCTCCAGAGGGAGCTGATGCTGTATTATCGTTAACTGACGGAGAAATTGAGGAAACTAATCCTATTGACGGGTGAGTGAGAAATTGTATGAACTTGTATGAATTTATGTGTTTTAAAGGAGTAAGCAAGAAGATTTTAAACAATCAAAGTATTATTAAGACATCTATTAGAGATTTTACATAGTTAAATTTTTTTGGAAAGAACGTGAGTATGGAATACATGAAAGTCGTTAAAAATCAATGATTATATATGTCTCAAAAATGACTGTTTTTTGACTATTTAAAAATACATAGTTAAATTACTTATTACAACTCAGAACACAGACTAAACATCTTCTACATCTTCAACAATCGTCGTCATTTATCAACCAACTTACAAAAAATATTAACGAATTATACACGTAAACATTCCTTAGGGAATGACTTAACCGAAACCGTATGAAAATCTATTCGGTAGTTTTTTAAGATTATCCCGTTCATACAGACAGACGTTGTTTTGTTGTATGTACTGATGATTATACCGCGACTGCAAATTAATATATTTACGTCAATAACGATATCGGTACCATACATCACAATTTACACTTATACTACTCTGTGGATTCAGTTTGTCGGTTATTGACATAATCAGACGGAAGTAACTGCCTCGGTGGTGCAGTGGTAGCGTATGAGACTGCTATGCTGGGGTCTCGGGTTAGATTCCCGGGTCGAACCGAATGTTTGTATGATCTGCAAATTTTTGTGTCGGAGTTTGGGTGTTTTCTATGTATATCTTTACAAAAAAAAGATTTCTGTCAGTCATTCTAGCTTTCATAATACAACTCTGCTTCGTTTGAAACTTGATGGCGTCGTGTGTCAGTGACTGAAATTAAAAAAAAAAACAAGAAATTTCACACAGTTTTTTAAACGTTTTCTTTGTAATGAAGACTTGTTTCATACACATCAACAGCTTTGAAGAGTCCACTGCTGGACATGGCCTCTACTTAGAATGGAAGTTTTGGCCTACTATACCACGCTGGCCAAAAGGGGTTGGTATAGAGTTTGTGTCAAGTTTTCCTTCTCTTTGCAGTGCTGTTGTCCTGCGTAGTTTGCTCCCTTAGTCGACTCTTACGACACACGGGATGAATAGGGGTGGTGATACTCTGTATTCTTAATCCATCACCACACGGAGAGACTAAGACATTTTGAATTAAATAAGGACATCGTTAGTAAATAACCGAAGTTCAGGCAATATCTCAACATCCTTAGTTGCGTTAGAAAACATAATGTTAATAATGTAATACTATTATTCTTCCCTACTATTCCTTATTTTGTGAATAAAAACTCTTTAACAAGAGATGGTTCTTTTGCCGCTAATGGCTTTATAAACCGTAAGGCAACAAGCACAATGAATACCCAGACTCGGAAGAACTATTTGTGAATTATGCTAATTTTTGTATTGTTAGGGATTCGAATCGATTCGATATTATACTCGATAGAGGCAAGGCGACAACTTTACTAAGAATAATAGTTATGTGTGGTGAACATTATTAGTGTTCCTTATATAAAAACTAAAAATCAATTGTCAATGGTAATAATAGCGTTTTAACGGGTATTTCTAATAACAATAGCATCGTCCTATTTCAGTGAGGTGGTATCAGCAGCATCCTTACTCCAACCGACGTTACTGCCTCGAGTCCATCCGGCGTTGTTCGTGCTGTATGCTTTACACAACAAGAGGGAAGACGACATGTATTGGAGACGACTCCTCAAATGGAATAGACAGCCAGATCTCACTCTCATGGCGTTCTTGGGTATCGACCAGTAAGTCTATGTTCAAATTAGAGCAATTAATTATTATATTTGTGTTGTATAAAACACTTAAATATATTTATTAAGGCTCGCGGTAAAAATTTGCCTATGTTACTCACTGATAATGTAGCCTATCATTGGTGAAGGAATTTTAAAATCGCTTTAGTGGTTTAGGCGTGAAAGCGTACCAAATAAACAAACTCACTTTCACATTTTCAAGTATGGATTGCCGTAGATTAACATAAGTATAAAGTCAGTAAGTACATATGAAAAAATGAAATTAATTTTTATTATAACAGGTTTTTGTTGGCTTTTTTCCAATCGAAAAGTTTCGACATGAATATATATCTATGTTGTAGGTATATACACAATATATGTTTATATTATATTTAGTTATATGTATTATATATCAATCAACCCAAACTCAACTCTCGTGTAAACGGACCAATATACGTAGATAATTACATACAAAGGTGTCGGTAACGATACATTCTTTTGTTTGTTGTTTAAAAATGCCAAACGCTCCTAAAGAAGTTTTCACTTAAAAATATTTAACTTTCATTATGCTTTCTATAAAGTAGACTAGGAAAACAGGTGCTATATGCTTTATTGTATTTTGAATTGCTTAGCTGGCTATAAGAGGAACTAGCCGAAATCTTTTGCATTTCTACACATTGCGCCGACACTCAATAAAATTGTGTAAAGGCACGCAGATGATGAGATTGACAGGAAGACGCTGTAGGTAATCAGCAGTTATCATAGACAATAATTATATTTTTTTTTGTATTTGGCTTTGACTTTTTGATAGGCAACTTGAGAGCTAAATTGTGATATATTACCTACTTGAATTTTCCTTACAGAAAATTCTGGGTTGGCTACGCTTGCCCACCCAACCAACTGTCTCCAACATCACCCATGAAAGAGCAACTCTTCCAGGAGGCAGTTGAGACGTTACAGCAACTAAAGACAACGTTCTCCCCCATCGAGAAGTTATTAGTTATAAGAAGTACCTTTCAAAAGATGACCATAGCCGTACAACAGGAACTAGGTATGATTCGAATTAACCTTAATGATAATAACCACTCATCACACTCACGACAATCTAATCCCAAACTAACCAGACTGCTGATAAACCATTAGATCAACAGGCCAGTCAATTGTTTTCTCCTTCACTAAAACGATTACAAAGCTAGAATCTGTGCACGCAATCTTTAGGAACTTTACAGACACGGAATTATTGCGCAAGATCAAATACCTTTATAGATATCATACACAGATTTGAAGATCAGATACTGTAGGCACAATGGCCTTATGCCTAAAATAATTCTTTCAAGTAATGCGGATGGATCATATGAATTAAAGATTATTTTTTTTTAAATAAGCCTACTCCCGCACTAAGAATAAATCATGTGTTGCGGGGGACTTTACAAACATACATGAAACGGACACAAAGTAGACTCAGAACAACAATTTGTGGATCACACAAAGTGTTGTCCCATGTGGGGTTTGAACCCACAACACTCGGCGTAATAGGAAGCGGCGTGGCGACCGCTTAAACCACTACGCCATTCGTGCAGTCGGTTATAGTATAGTATATATTTTGTACTCATAATTACAGAATGTTGTATTTCTGCTTTTGATTGAGGATTCAAGTTTGCCAATGAGCTAATTTGCCAATTTAGTTATCAGAAAGTAACTTTTTTTACGTTCAACATTTTTTAATCAACATTATTCTAATATTTATGTTCATCTAGAGCAGGGATTCCCAAAGTGGTCGATATCGACCCCTTGAGGTCGAAATCGGATCAAGTTTTAATTTGAAACTTTTAAGATACTGTATTAGTGGTGTTACATGTACTAACTTGTTATAAGAATGACTGAAATTTTGGTAGGAAGTATCATTGTCGTACTTTAAAACACGCACCAAATCGATTAGCGTGCAATAATTTGGCTATGGGGGTCTGAGGAATCAGTTCATTTTAGAAAAGGAGTCTCTTGCCCAAAATCGTTTGGGAATCCCTGATGTAGAGAGTAATTCCTGATACCCTTGCAACTATTTAAAACAGTTTTCCCATCTCAAAGATGTACAGCTTACAGTACTCTTATCAGTCCAGACTAGGGTTTTAACCTTTTTACTTATGAATCTACTTGCTTGAGCCCGGGCTTCGCTCCTTCGAAAAAAAGATTTTTTCTTGACGAAAAGAACCCTATGTCTTTCTCAGTTTCTCTAGCAATTGATGCTTAACAACGCTTGATGCTTAATACGGTCGCCCAAAAAATACCAATAAACAAACATTGTTTTTTTTTGTGTATATATTTGGTATTGTAAATCTTTTTCAGGACAAAACTACCTCTGGAGTATGGATGAGCTGTTTCCAGTGTTTCACTTTGTGGTGGTTCGAGCGAGGATACTGCAACTCGGGTCTGAGATACATTTCATAGAGGACTTCTTGGAGCCTGGTATGCAACATGGCGAGCTCGGACTTATGTTCACTACCCTCAAGGTAAATTATGCTTTAAAACTAACAATTTAAGGTCCTATAATATGCTACACAAACTTGATGTCTTGTCAGGAAGCACATCCCATTCTGATAGTTTATTAACAAAAACTTTTAGATATAGACTACAGTGCACTGTGCACTTTAAGTGCATATGGTGTTAGCCTGTAAGTGATTATTGCACTTACACATGTTTCGCCTTTAAGTCAATTCTGAAATGTTTAGTGTAATAATCGTTGGCTTACCAAAATAAATAAATAAAAAATACACTAGACGCCATAGGTTCGAGCTAAATTGGTATCATAACGCTTGTAAAAGTGACCTAGTATAAACAATACCTTATCTATAGTGTTACTAGCGTTATCCAATATTCTAGCGACTTCTAATCCGGCTCGAAGGACCACAAACAAATAGTGTACTTGAGCATTTAGTTCTGTAAATATTCAAATAAATGTTAATATGCTGGAGTAGTGAGTTCTTAAATTCTGCATATTTGTATTTTCTGTAAAATATTTACTGAAACATTGTATTTTTCCAGGCGTGTTACTTCCAAATCCTACAAGAGAAGATGTCGATGAACTATTAAGGTTATTTGTTACAATACCAAACTATATAATAATAAAAATGATCTCGCAATACGTATGGTGCGTCTTGTAACATTTAGTTGTAGCTTCCGCAATAATTTGCTCCGTAAGTTGTTGATGTTCGGTTAGTAGTTGATCGAGGACGTATATCTGTTACTATCACTGTTTCGTGATAATACTGTTGATGATGGTGATGAAAAAAAGAACAAATAAACTGTAAATGGTGATCAAAAATTTGTTTTATATTCGTTTGTTACTCCTCCTGTTTGTTAATATTATCGGATATTATAAATGCGAAAATGAGTTTGTTTGTTTATTTATTTGTTACCTAAAATTAAGCATACATGTTGGCAAAAGCTAGTCAATAATATTTCTAAGTTTCTCCTTCATTTACTAACTTCTTTCGTAGTCATACAATGTCTTAAAATATTCTTATTTCAACCTTTAATTTTTAAAGCCCTCCCAAGTTTCATTAATTTGGGATTAGCTTTAATCTGTTATATTAAATTTATTTGTTATTTAATTCATTAAGAAACAGTTCTTTATTGGACAATAACAACACAACGCTTTTACGATCGTGACCCTTTTCACTTTTCTTTTATCCCATATGCAATGTGTGTTAGTGGTTTTCGACAAGTGTTATAAAAAATTCTTTGAAACTATATCATGACTTAAAAAAATACTTTTAAGTCATGACATAGTTTAACTAGTATTCATTTTATCTTCATATTGTTGACGACTACTTTCAAAACTTATTTAAACTAAAATAGAATATAATGTTTACATGTGTTATAGCTTAGTGTAATCGTGGATTTAGAAAAATTAAAATCTTGCCATTATAATAAAACGGTATACGTCCTTGAAATGAATTGTTATTATATTCTAATTGTTAATTAATTGTTACATGTCTATTGTAAATTAGAAGGAGTTAGAGAAACGTACAAATAAAATAGAAATATTTTAAAAGCAGTATGAAATTTTATGTGGGACTGTAAACAAAACAGGTAATTAACGAATTTGACTGCACGGTTGGCGTAGTGGTGTAAGCGGTCACCACACTGTTTACTACTACGCTGAGTGTTGTGGGTTCGATCCCCACACAGGACGACACTTTGTGTGATCCACAAATTGTTGTTCTGAGTCTGGGCATTCTTTGTGTCCGTTACATGTATATTTGTAAAGTCCCCCGCGATACAGGATATATTCCTAATGCGGGAGTTGTCTTTTTTAACATACATTTAACATATTGTCTTCAATTAAAATCTGATATATTGTCTCAAAAACATCTTACAAAAATATATATATAATAAATTATAATTTTTAATCAAAATATTTACAAACTAATCGCCTCGAAGTTATCGTGACATTGTATTTTTTTTTACAGTCACTATTAGGAGTGGAAATTTTGTATTTATATATTGGAACTAGTTACAACCATATACTATTAAAAATTTCAACTTCATACCTTTTAAATTCTTATTGATTATAAATACTTTTTTCACTTCCTTTTTGTTTATATATAATTAATGGACACGTACTTGTCTTCATATAATTTGTTTATGTCTTATCCTCAGGGGTTGTTTTCCACGTCTTATTCTTAACCAAAAAGAACCCCACCTTAATCATATAAATACTCTTAGGCTTAGTATGTAACGGGATTTATTTTTAATCCTCGAGTATTTATTTTATTAAGTATTATTACTAGTATTGTTAAAAATATTTATCATCTCTTCCTAGTCTGGTAATGCTAATTAAGAACAGTGATGTACGTACCCTAGTCTGGGTTAGCGGTCTGATCGCGGTTCAATATCCTTTAATACGCCGTACGTTTTGAATACTGGCGGTTTATTATTTCCAATAAAGAGCCCAATGGAGCGTTATTTGTTCCTGTTCCAGTCTCCGGAATGAGGACACTAAATTCTATCTATAATTTCTATTAGTCGGAATATTCTTTCTTAACGCTCACTGTCAAATGAATGAATGAAATGTTTAGACAACTAGCAAAACGATTGTGCTGCAAGCTTGTTATTAAAATTATGGTTTGACGTTTTTGAACTTCAATTAAACATATTAGTTTAATTTATTAAGAAAAATTAAAATATCTTCTTATTTGTAATGATGAAATTCATACATACACAGCTATCGTAACTAAAACGATTTAGTTTTATCTATTTCTAACACTGCAAAAAAATATATATATTATAAATTTCCAACATTCGAAATGGTTTGTTTAAGTTGCGTGCCAAAATGAGGAAAATACTTTAAACGTAGGAAGTAAAATGTTGGGCGTTGAGAGTTATTCAAAATATATTTTCATACAGCGTTTATGTATAATCAATAATCACGTGTAGATTATTTTAGATAATATTTGGCCCCATTAAGAACTTTCAGTAGGATTTTTAAATCTTAAAATATACCTTAATTCTAAATATTTTACGACATTGTGTATAGTATACAAGTGTCAATATTCCTTGTTATCCATTTCCCTGTATATTTAGTCATAATTTGTTTTAAAATTAAGTAACAAAGGTAATAATTAAGTAGTAGGTACTACGAGTACTAGTACAAAAAAAAATGTTACACATAGGTAATCGAACAAATTGTTATTTTTCTAACTTTAATATTTTGTTGGCAGGTTCATGTTCTGAATCTTCCTTTCATCGACAAGATAGAATTAAAGGTTAAGTTTATGTTTGCACAATTGCACAATTATTTAAAAATAGAATAAACGATAGCAGCCTGTCGGCAAACCCCCGTTGTTTTAAAAACGTTAATCAAGTGTGTTGTTTCAATGCAACAGAATACCATATCATTAATGTTATATAGCATGTTGTATATTTGTATCTTTGTCCTATGTGAAGTATTTCAATATTCAAAAAATATATATTTAACATTTAATAAAATTGGCAATAAAACATGGGTTTTAATTTGATGTAGTTAAACAAACCTCGACCCGTCACTTCGTGTGCCTTGTATTAAAGGAAAAGTAGAAGTTGCGCCTCATATATTTAAAAAAAACTGAAAATATAAATGGTTTTACCATAGTGTATATTTCTGGTGGGCCCGGTGAGTTCCGAAAGAAGTGCTTTTCCAAGAAGGTAACCGTCCTGCAGCGACGATGAGTGTGTCGTCTGACAGAATAGCACTCACTAAAGATTCTTCTAACCTCTTTTTAAACAATAACAATCAATTAGTATTCTCTTTATTACAGATGCTCTGATGCCTCGTCTGGTTAACTTGATAGAGGCATAAATAAAAGACGAACAGTATTTATTAAGGCTATTTATTTCATTCCTATAAAATAACATACCAAATGTCTCTTTTGTACAAGGTCATATCAAAAATGTACACCATAATATAAATTTCGTCTCAGGTAAATGTTACCTAGCTACTCTCACGTCTCCTATTTATTTTCATGGCTATTATTACATAAATATAATTATAGTCCTCTCACGTGCCTAGTCTCTGATAGGTACAAAATGTTCTTTACACCGACTTGGACGCAACAATATAAAAATACACAACACCAAGAAAAAAATCGCTTGTATTTCTATATGGCGTGTCAACGTAATGCTGTACAATATATCTACAATACGCCAACTGCTGGTTATTGTTCAAATTCATTGTTAGTGAAATTGAATATTATTGCAAATACAGCTTTAATTTCAGAATAAATTTAGAATTAACACGTTATTAAACAAAAAAAGAATATTGCACATTTTCTTCTTCTAAAAGCGGGGTTACCTATTAAAAATATTGAATATCTTTTTAAATAAATATTTATGTATTTTTTTACTGGTTATGAGCGGTAATACTAGAATACTCTATGGAAAACACAAAGGTAGCTAAATACCCTCAGACTAGCTTCCTTGTTTATCTACACGGGTTGAACCTTGTGAGGGTAAATCGCATTAGGCAGAAATGTCTTAATTACAAAAAGCAATCGCCTTTTACTTTCAAAGTTACAGGCTTAAATTACGCAGTTCCTTCATAAATTGTTAAGATACAGGAAGACTAAAATGCTTATAAATTAACTATATTCTTACACGGAATTCACCAACCTCCGGTTTCGTCAAAAGAAATAAAGATCCTAAACCTTCAACTTTGATTAATAGCTTTGCGTCACAACCACAATTTCGCCAGTGTCATGTATCCGAAGGACAAGATGCCAGGGACTTTATGTAGAGAAGCGATAGAGTGAAAAATAACTTGGAGATGGAGAGACCTAGCGAAAAAGAAAGATTCAAAAGTTGGTCGTAATTGTCTATTAGTATTGACAGAGATATATAAATGTCACTTATTTATCACTCATTGCTGTTTCAAAATTCAATTTTAGGTAACTTGATTTAAATTTGAATTTTAGATCATTATATCTTATTTCTCTTTGCGAATCTAAACCCTAGACCCTTTAAAATGAAATTAATTTTAATAGTAATATTACCATCACATACTGTTCATATTATACGTTTTGTTACCGCTCATAACTTGTAGATAAAATTTGGGGCAATATCGTATAAGGCGGTATGGTACTGAAGGGATTTTTATTTGAATTTTTATTTATTGAAAGTTAAAAAGTATTGAGTATTTATAAAATGTATATTCTACAGGCAAGAACAACTGATAATCATCGCCCCGAATACAAAAGATATGTGGTACAGCATAAGCACAACCTTAATATTATAATATAATCATATGATTCATCACAATCTGTTCGCAGCGGTAGAATCAGAAACATGTATTTTGCACTCTATGTGTTAGCCGAGAGAATTACAGTAGAGAGGCGTACAAAATGTGTTATTCCCCATTATGAATTACACTTACTATAAAGTGTTAAACCTGAGACAGCTGCGCGTACATCATAAGTAGTTTGTATAATTTATGTGTAATAATATTTAAGAGATAGAACATGACATCAAATCTGACGTATATCGCTGGGTATATTTACAGCTAGTCGATAGAAACGTTCGGCTTTTAGTCTTACCTCTACACATTGCAATGTTAC